GTGTGTGTGTGTGTGTGTGTAGATGCCAGGCTGCTGTGTGTGTGTGTGTGTGTGTGTGTGTGTGTAGATGCCAGGCTGCTTTGAGTTGTTTCTTAAAAAAAAATCTAGAAATGCAAAAACTTCATGTCATATAAAATTTTGTTGAACTGAATTTTGTTGAAATGTTGGGCATTAAGTCCTGACCTACTCCCCCGACTCTGAATCTGCGGCACATCCTGCGCTGTTGACTGCGTATGCCATGAAGGATATTTTCCCCGTCATGCAAAGTCCACGTCCACTTCTGTATGGCCACACCCACCCCACATGGCCACGCCCACCCCACATGGCCACACCCACCTCACATGTCCATGGCCATGCCCACCCCACATGGCCACACCCACCTCACATGTCCATGGCCACACCAATCAACCATGGCCACACCCACCTCACATGGCCACGCCCACCCCACATGGCCACACCCGTCCCGCGTGGCCACACCTGCAGACACCTTTCCCTGCCTACATGTCTGATACTCGCTCCTCTGGAACATGTACCTAGTGTGGCTCTGCTCTTCTCAGGAAACCTTTTGGTGAAAGAGGCCCCTCCCCCAGGTATGATGGCTCAGTGGGGAGGGTGTGTCCTCCCGAAGCTCTCCTGATGCAGGGAGCAGCTCTGGTTCTGGGCCAACCTGGGCCCTGGTGGAGTGCGACAGACCTGCGTGTCAGAGGAAGTCTTTATCTTAGGTTGTGTGCTTTCCATGGGCAGAGCAGCGCACCCTGGTTTGAAGGGAAGGTGTTGAAAGTCAAAAGCTTGTCTGGAATCTGTGATAAATTCCCCCCCCCCAGCTGTCGTCTTTCAGGAAAATCCCCTCTTTGCTGCATTGAGAACTTACAAACTTTTTTTCTGTCTTTCACAAACACTCTTTGTTCCCTTCCTCCCTTAGGTTTTATCTCGATACTTATGAGCAATTACTTGTGAAAATGAACGTTCTCTGACAGTCTGAGCCATCGGCCAGGACACCCCCCATCTTGTTTTCTGTGCCTCACAGGCAAATGGCGGGGGGGGGGCGGGTTTGAGGTGTTGTCTGATGTCTGGATTAGTGAGCCGTCCTTGTCCCGTTCTCCGATGTCATGTGATCCTGTGTAAAGCTTGAAAACAGGATAATAAGGGTAATAAATTGAGACTGTGCAGGCGGGTGGGGGTGGAGTACTCAGGCCTCGGGGCCCAAGCCTGCCTCTCTCAGGGGGGCTGGGCCTGGAGGAACGGCCACGTTTTGCTAGCAAATCAGGATCGAGCTTCACCCCACCTAAAGCTAGCCCTGTCCAGTTGTGCATTTGCTCAAAAACATCCGGCACGACTGTGGCTCTCAAAGGGGTTCTGGCCTCCTACATAACAGCGTCCACCTGTGCAAACAGGTAAAAATGGATTGTGTGTGCAAAACCACACATGTGGCTCTGTGAGGAGGCGGAGCCTGGTGGGGCTCCCCAGGTGGGGCTCCCCAGGTGCTGTCACATGCTAGGCTTAGCCAGCTGCTGTCAGCCGCCAGCTACGTTGGCTGCTTCCTCTGGCATTCCCACATGCCTGGAGGGACCTCTGCATGTGGAGGTGTGGAAGCAGAGACGGCTGTGTGCGAAAGGAGGGCCACGATCCAGGCTGACAACTGAGTCCTGCACTTAAGAAAAGAAAATCCTTAATTTTTCTCCTCTTTACCTGGTAAGCTACGGAGACCGTAGCTGGCGTAGCCAGGGAAATGTGATCTACTAGAGAGTGATGCAGCCTGTCAAAGAGTAACAGAGTGATACAGCCTGTCAGAGAGTGATATAGAGCAATGCAGCCTATCAGAGAGTGACCGAGAGAGATGTGGCCTGTCAGAGAGGGATTGAGAGCGTTATAGCCTGACAGACAGTGATCAAGAGCGAAACAGCCTGTCAAAGAGTGACCGAGAGAAGTACGGCTTGTCAGAGAGTGACCAAGAGTGATGTGACCTGTCAGTGTGTGACTGAGAGAGATGTGGCCTGTCAGACAGTAACTGGGAGTAATACAGCCTGTCAAAGAGTAACCAAGAGAGATGCAGCCTATAAGAGAGTGTAACAGTCTGACAGATTGTGGCCAAGAGCGATGTGGCCTGTCCAAGAGTGACTGAGAGAGATGTAGTCTAAGAGATAGTGACCAAGAGCGATGTGGCCTGACAGAGAGTGACATAGAGCAATGCGGCATGTCAGAGAATGATCGAGATATGCGGCCTGTCACAGAATGACTAAGAGAGATACAGTTTGTCCAAGAGAGACTGAGAGTGATTGAGAGTTAAGCGGTCTGTCCGAGAGTAACTTAGAGTAGATGACGTTCCACCATTTGAAATGCTCGTTTGCTTTGGAAGGTGTTTCCTCACAGTTTTTGCCAAGGCTAAGTGACATTTGAGGATCATCTTGACGCATGTGCCAAGTCCTCAGACCTGTTGTTCATAGGGAGTGTGGAGCCCATTTGCTTCACACATACTTTGCCATATGAAGGTGTTTTCTGGCACTGGAGCTTAGACAATGCGCTGAGTCCTGTCAGGAAAATGATTGCAGACGGACCGAGTGTGGCTGGCAGACCCTGGGGAACGCTCCAACTGGCACTGGACCTGCCGTTATGAGTGTGAAGTGGAGGATGTGCTGAGGGTGATTGCTGTAAGGGATTATTTATCATGGATTTCAGACTCATTAATCAATGCCATCCAGTGGCTTTTAATAGGAAACAGTACCTCCTCCTAAGCACAGTCGCTTTGTGAAGGGGGGGGGGGGGTTCCTGCATGATCAGAGAGAGCTTGAGATGGAGCCAGTGAGCCTGAAGTACCAGCTGGAGGAAGTAGGGGGTCACTTACAGGCCAGGAGGAGTGTGAGCAAAAGGCCTGCTCTGCAGGGAGGCCTGGTTCTCATCTTCCTCCTGATTCCCAATGCTCCAGCCATAGTCTTCCTCTCATTTCCCATCACTGGGGAAATGAGTGGGTGGTTTGGGCAATACAGCATTATTTCCAGTGCTTGACCGGGATGTTGTATGCCAGGATAACCTGCCAGAGTGTGTGCGTGAGTGTGGGGGGGGGTGAGTGTGCTCCCAGTTTCCTTATTGTGAGAAGGAAGCACTGATCCCGTGTGAGAAAGAGGACAATGAGTGCGGCTTCTCAGGCAGCATGCTGGGAACAGGCTTGGGGGTGGGGGCAGGCTTGGAGGTGGGGGCAGGGTGGGGATGCTCTACAAGCGGCTTCTTGCTCTTTGGCTTGTGTCTGTTTTTCTCGGCGCGCCCCAACCCTGAGGTGACAACATCCTGAGGTCCATTGTGGCGGTTCCATCCCATGTCCTTTGTGAATGCTCCGTATCTCATGGGTGTTTGTGTGGTTGGTTTGGTTGTTCTGTCCTCACAGTTCATCTGTGTTACCTCAGCATTGCTGTGGTTTTTGTATCTTCTGAGAAATAGTGCAAAGTCTGCATGAGAGCCTGTTACCACAAACCCCACTGGTGCAACATCTAGATATAAGCCCTGTTAACATGAGCTCTGTTAGCGTGAGACCTGTTAACATGAGCTCTGTTAGCGCGATCTCTGTTAACATGAGCTGTTAGCGTGAGCCCTGTTAACATGAGCCCTGTTAGCGCGAGCCCTGTTAACATGAGCTCTGTTAGCGTGAGCCCCATTAGTGAGTCCCCCGTTATCGTAAGCTACGATAGCGTGAGCCCTTTTAGCCTGAGCCCCATTAGTGCTAGCCCCTCTGGTGCAACATCTATGCATAAGCCCTGATAGCATGAGCCCCATTAGCATGAGCCCCATTAGCGCTCCTGTGTCCAGCTCCCCACTCACCTCGTCATCTGCTGCTTTAGTTTCTTGTCCGCGTGTGACCGTGGCTGGGTATCTGCATCCTCCCCAAGCTTTGTGGGCATTTCCTTTCCCCACCTTGGCCTTATTTGTTCCACGGCTGGACATCCTGCTTAAATCCCACTTTCTCCAAGGCTCAGGAACATTTCTCTTCAGGGAATCACAGCTGGGCTTCCCAGCTCCATCACTACCCCAAGGTCATGTCTCTGACATCAAAGCTGACAGGCTGAAGTGTCACCGGATGGCAGGTGTGCTGGGGGGGGGGGGTCTTGCCATCGACAGGTGCAGTGTGACGGTAGTGAGGTAAGATCTTCATGCTCGGGCTGCTTAACCGTTTCAGCACTGGGGCAGAGCCCCTGCAAGGGAGCACCCATGTAAATATCTCGTCATGGGAAAGGACCGATTTGCTTACGGATAAAGGCCATTTGCATCCTGTCAGACCCACCACATCATCGCCACATCTGCAATTGTCACGACTTTGCATGTGTCTGCATCTTTGCCTCTCACAGACCTCCCTCACCGACCGGGTGTGAATGTCCGGGTCCTTGCAGGCGACCTACCGATGGCACGGAGGCAGTGATGGAGCCCGTCAGGACTGCTGTCACCACCACTGAGAGGCAGTGTAAGGTAAGGTAAAGTGATTAGTCATCGTTGACACACCAGTGCACATAGTGCACACACACCGAAACAACGAAATGTGTCTTCTGCATTTAATCCATATATGACAGGGCTCTTCAACTCGCGGTCCTCGAGGTCCGAGCCCTGCTGGTTTTCCAGCCTTCCTTTACCTGTCAGTCAGGTGTGAAGCCTCTGACCAATCAGGATCAGTAATTATTAAACAACTACCTGGGAGAACTGAAAACAAGGCCTGGATTTGGAATCGAGGTCCAGAGTTGAAGAGCCCTGATATATGACATCGTGACATAGCAGGGGCAGCTAGTGCTTGGGGTGGTAAGTTCCTCAGGGTACCTCAGTGGTACCTCACTTTTGATTATAAGTGCACTCCCTTAACCATTAGGCCACCGCTGTCGCATCAGGAACCCAACGTCCACCTGGCTGGGGGCAGCATTAGAGACTTATTGGTTGTGCTAGAGCTGGACCAGTGTCCTGCCTTTAGCCCCTACAGACCTGTCTAGAGGACAGCTGCATCCTTTCATGGTGAGGAAACATAGATGTGAGAGCGAGACCCGGCATGGGTTTGAGGGCAGAATGCGATCACCTGGGTGTGCTTAGATCTGGAAGAGAGCCCATAGTGCCCCCTACAGTGTGCTCCCTGTTGTGACTGGGCTGTAGTGTGAGAAATAGCTGGCCTCTTCCTCTTTCTCTCTCACTTCTGCTCTCAGTCCGACTGTGGGAACCGTGTGACTGCTTTCCCACCAGCCATCAGTGAAAAAATAGCTGGCTCTGTAGAGGCACCCAACCCGAGCGGCTCGGCCCGCCTGCTTCTCATGGCCCGTCCGTGGCTCCGCAGTAACCCTAATGGCTTTCGTATGCAGGTACCGAGCACCCGCCGGCCTGGGAGCCCCATGCGTGAGAAAGGAACCATTTTCACGACCCTGTTCTTTTTCTAAAATATTTATTTATTCCTCTCAAGTTTTTTTTTTTGTATTGGAGTGGTTTTGTAAATCTAAAGCTGTCCCAGTCCTGGGCTGCTGGTTCGAGGGGGGTGTGTAGCATAAATGTGCGTGTGTAGGCCGGGGGGCGTGTCCCAAGCTGCGAGCCTGCTAGCTTCGTGGGTGAAGGTGTGAAGTCACACATTGTGGGGGGGATGCAAGGGAGAGCCTGAGCCGGCTGACACTCCCGTCCTGAACCAGGTGTGACGTCGAGCTCCCATCAGCCAATCACCAGCCTCCCTAAAAGGTGCCATGTGACCAAGCGGTGAGTCCCATCTACTTGTGTTTTGAGGTGAGTGGGTGTGACCAACTGTTTCTATTTTTGCCTTTACTCAGCAAGGGTGGGGGACTCAGATGACCGTCAGTCTTGGAGGCATGGTCCAGGAAGTACCCCCCTCCCACTGTGCTGTCCCGAGTGAGCAGAGGGACGTGGGATGGTCCATTTGGGTTAAGGAGGCATGCGACGGTTTTGCTGGGGGCTGATGGAGGTGCCGTTAGTGAGGTTAGCAAACTTGGAGTTGCTGTTTGTCACAGTGGTGAACTTGCAGGGGACAGCCTGGTAACCTTCAGTGTGTGAAAGGTGACACAGGCATGTGAGGGAGAGAGGAGGGCACACTGTGTAAAAGGAGGGCACACTGTGTAAAAGGAGGGCACACTGCGTAAAAGGAGGGCACACTGTGTAAAAGGAGGGCACACTGTGTAAAAGGAGGGCACACTGCGTAAAAGGAGGGCACACTGTGTAAAAGAGGGTACACTGCGTAAAAGGAGGGCACACTGTGTAAAAGAGGGTCACACTGCGTAAAAGGGAGGCACACTGCATAAAAAGAAGGCACACTGTGTAAAAAAAGAGGGTCACACTGCACAAGGTCAAACCTGATTTTTTTTTTTTATTAAAATGCTTTGAAAACTACATCATTCGCACATAAATTTCAGTATTTCAAGCACTTAATACAGACATTTTGAGTGATATTTCACCAATAAAACTGCAATATAGACTGATCTTTCTTTAAATTAACATACGTGATTTTCACATACATGCTCGGAGCGTAAGAAGGAAACAGGAAAAACAAGGATGCAGAGAGGAGAGTGAGTGAGGGCGCCCCCTGTCAGCGGAAGCAGGCTTAACACCCCACGCTGTGGGCCCCGTGCTCACGCTCATATAGCTGTCAGCCATTTCCTGCCCCCCCTCCCCCCCAGTTCATCATTAACAGGCTGTATGGATCTCACCTCAAAGCTTGATAAAACGAAACAAAATGTAAAAATAAAACAATTTTGCATATAAAAACCATATGGGTATTGCTATATTACACGCAGCAGTGTGTCTGTCTGTGTCCATGTGTGTGTATCTATGTATCTGTGTCTGTCATGGGTGTAAATTACAGGGGGCTGGGGAGGTGGTAAACCTCCCCCAATAATTAAAACCGGCCAATACAGCCCCCTCCCTCCCCCCCAATGTTCAACCCAAAGTTATGCCCTCGGTGTCTGTGTGTGTCTGTACCTGTGTGTGTGTGTGGCCACCTCACTCTCTTTGGTTTCCTCACAGCTGTATGAGAGGTTGTGTCTCTGTTTCCACGTAGACGGACAGGTTGGGGGGGGGGGGGGGGCTGTCCCCCTGCCCTGTCTCTAGTCCACTAGGCACTTTAACCCAAAGTGACACACAGCTGCTGTGTGATGCCTCGCAGGGTGTATCTGAGGACGCTGTGACAACCTCTGTGTCCACCTTAATGTGTCATGAGCAGCTTCGAATCTGCCTTAACGCCATGGCCATGAGCACCTCCCCATCCACCTTAACGCTGCGGCCCAGCTAGCTGCCCCCCAAGGTCCTGAGCTGACCTGGAGCAGGTCCTCGCCCCCGTCCCGCCCCCTTTGGGTGCCGATATTATTCCTGAGGTACTATCACCAAAAAGTGTTCAGACTGTGATCCGGTGAGTTCGGTCAGCTGCCTCCTATCCCCCCTCCCCCCGCCCCACCCTGTCCGCTTACCCAGCATGCACCACCTTGCCCACAGGTCCTCAGAATCACAGGTAAGAAACCACCCCCCCCCCACCCCCCACCCCAGCAACCTTCATTTGTGCTACAAACGCCAGCTTTGGTCGCTTTAGTCATCGCAAATGCACTGACAAATTTGTGCAATAGCCCCACCCCCCAAGGCAAGCTGAAAATAAGACTGCAGTTTTATGGACGAAACCCAACTCCAAAGCGTGGCGGCACCTCATCGCTCCCTGGGACAGCGGCTTGGTGAGGAGGCTGCAGCCGCTCCCCTCGTAGATAAAGGCAGAGAGTATGAGCCCCACCTTCCCTGGGGGGCTCCAGGATCAAAGGGCTCCAGGAGACAAAGCCTCTTCCCCGAGGTCCCGCCGCTTACTGTAACTCTAACTCCTCGCTGACAGCTCCTCCTGAGTGATCCCCATGTGCCCCGACCTCTCCCTCAGCTTCCCAGCATGCCATGGTGCCATAAGGACCTCCGGGGGGCGCCGCTGTCCCCTCTGCGGCCAGGCGCTCGGTCAGGAACACCATAACGACATACGTGAAAGCCGACGCCCTCGCAGTTCGCTGCCGGCGCACTTGGTGCCCCCTGTGGCCCCCTGTGGCCCACGCGGGTCAAACGGACCCCTGAACAACTGATTTAGTGAAGCAAGGGAGAATAAAGTTAATAGCAAAGAAAGGCTAAAATACGGGCCGTGACTCTTTTTGTGGCTGTGATCATCGTTTACAGTCTCCATTAGGCTGCCGATTGCCAGAATTTCCCGATTCCTTTACAGAAGGTCAGTGCATAGAAGCCACAAAGGAAATCAAATGTTCAAAAAGGCCTCAGTCCGCTTATAATTACATTAGGGCAGCTCAGACTGTAGTCTTACACTGAAAAGCCCTTAAAGGATGTGAGCGGATGTGCAGCCGGCATCCGGACTGCGGTTCAGGGGCGTAAGGAGGAGGGAAAGGTGTCCATGCAGGCTGGAGGGGCGAAAACCAAGCAGAATTATTAGCGGTAAGAAAGGCGCTTTGGAAGATGGCTCATTAGGGTCGTCGCTGCTTGTAGTTCATGCTTTCTCAAAAACAGCACTACCTCTTTGGTTTTGATGTTTTAAATGCTTATTTAACCCGTTTAAACTAAGAAAATGCCCTTTTGGAGACGCATTCAGTGCCCCGTTTGAAGGGCTTAAAAACAACATGGCCGTATGCTGCACAATCCGGGCTCTGGGGGCCCCGGGCCCTGCACCTGGCACCACTGATTCCCTGGGGCTCGGCCTTTAAGGTCCACGGTGCATGAAGGCGCATTCTCAGCCTCGGCGCTGAATGTACTTAAAGCTAGAATAGGACACACAACATCTAAGGTTTTTAAGGCTACAAAGACTGATTCCTGCTGAATCTTCCACAAGCTCAGGCAGGGAAATCTCCAGGAAGGTGGGGGAGGGACAAACATGCACCACTAGACTCTCAACATGGACGTCTTTGGTGAGGTTTCCGCGGCTGTTTTCTTTGGTTGTAGATGGTCCGCGCCTCTCCCTGACGTCTGATGGGGGGTGCAGCTCAGTATGGCCTCCAGACGGACTCATCCATCCTCCCGGGGGTGGAGATGCTGGTGGGCGAGTTGCTGTGGCTGCCGTCGGCCTCCACGCCGTCGCTCTGGCTGCTCAGCACCGGGTTCATCAGGTTGTTGCTGCCCGCGGAGGCTGTGCTGGCAGCACCAGTGCAGGAGGACAGCATGCGGCTGGGGGAGCGGTCCCCCCCTGCCGCCACCATGGAAAACTGGTAGGAGCCGGATCCGGTGCCATAGTACAGGTGATAAGGGGACGAGTTGGCCTGGAAGTGTCCGCTCTGGTTCTGGTTGCCTGGGTACGGCGGTGGCAGGTAGGTATGGTAGCGTGAGGACGCCGACATGGCTGACATGCCGATGCCCCCGATGCCCGAAGCAGACGGGCTGGCTGAGTAGGAGAAGGCGCCAGGGTAGTGCATCCGCGGGTCAGAGAAGCGGGGATCTGTCAGGGGGGACAGCGATGGGAAGGAGGTCCGCTGGGGAAACAGGTCCGTGGGGCCTGGGGAGAGACACAAAGGGAATGGTGAAGAAGGACTCCCATGGCGCCCCCTACAGGCACGTTACACCACATGGAGACCACAGAGAACCCAGACAGGAAACACAGGTGTGATGACAGGAAGATAAAGCAAGCGAGAGAGAGAGGTAGAGGAGCAGAGGAAGGAAGAGGAGGGTGGGAGCAAATCACTCTCAGGCCCATGCATGCATGCAGACAGGCATCCATGCAGACATGCATGCAGACGCACATTCATACAGACTCGCGCACGCAGACAGGCACACATGCAGATGTACTTGCACGCAGACAGGCATGCACGCAGACACACAGACATGGACATAGACACACATGCATCCAGACAGGAACATGCACACAGACACACACGCCCACAGACATGCATGCACGCAGGCCTGCAGTGGGATGCAGCTCTCATATTTTGGCCTTTTCCCCCATCGTCATGATGGAAACAAACACCCACCCCCCATCATCGCCTCCCAGAACCCTCATAAACAGGCCGGTCTGCTTCCTCGGCAGAGGAGGAGAGCATGAAGCTGCATTTCAGGATCTGGGTCATGCAAGCCGACAGGCCTTCTGCGGCTCTGTCGTTGTTCTGATCAAACGGACAGCATCTGTATGAAGAAACCCGGGGGCTACAAGACAACTAATCCATCCCTGCTCGGTGGTTTGGCCAATTTGGTTACAGAATAAACTGGATTTGGTCACTGGTGTGAGGTGCCCCTCCAACATTCAAATTAGAGAGCTCACCTGCAGAGAGTTTGTATAAGGGAACTGCAGCTTAGGCAAATCAGAATGTCTGTGTGGGGGGGCACAGTGGCCCATGTCAGGCCCTCGTCCCTTCCCCAGGAGTAAAAGGGGGTCACACTGAAGTCCCACACAGGGTAGTGCTGAAATGCATTATTCTGTTTCATTTACACACACAGACAGCAAGGCTGAGCTCTGGCCAAATTCTGACACCCTCACCAGCATTCTGCTGCCCCCCCCCCAGGCATCCCTCCAAGCTCTGTCAGCACACACATGCCTCCAGAGCACAGCAGGGTGGCAGGACCCCTGTGTGGCCTGTGTCTGCAGCCGTAAGCTGAGCTTTACTGCACTTTACAGCTTCTGTGTGTTTTGCAGATACAGTGACTGTTGTCCTCCTGACCTCTCAGGGTCCCCAACAAACCTCCCAATTCTCTGCTCTGTAAAAGAAAGAAAAGGGAGGAGAAGAACAGAGAGAGTGACAGGGTGGGGGGCTGCTTCCTTACCTGACCACCTCAGGTCATCCTCCACCTTGCACGTTTTGATGGGTAAATTCTGGGTGTCGATCTGTTCGGGCCACAGAGCTGTGCAGAGAGGAGGCGCTCTGTGAGTGAGCGTTAGAGCTAAGCACATGGGTAAAGGAGGCGCAGAGAGCCGGGGCTCACACACTGAGATTTCTGGTTTGTCACCATGACTGACTGTATGTAGCTGAGACACAGCTGTGATATAGCAGCACAGTTACAAAATGCTTTCATTGGTTTAGAGAAGCAGATACATAGAGGTACGTATGTATGGAAAGAACCAGAGATTATCTGTGAAGGTGGGCAGAGAAAACAGAAGTACGGGTGCGCGTGAGGAGTAAGGGTGGGGTGTACGGGTGTGGTGTATGGGTGCGCATGAGGAGTAAGGGTGGGGAGTACGGGTGTGGTGTATGGGTGCGCGTGAGGAGTAAGGGTGGGGTGTACGGGTGTGGTGTATGGGTGCGCATGAGGAGTAAGGGTGGGGAGTACGGGTGTGGTGTATGGGTGCGCGTGAGGAGTAAGGGTGGGGTATTCTCATTACTCCTGCAAAGTCCCAGTGGAATGTGAGGCATGTCAACCTGACCAGATATTTTGAGATGATGAGGCTCAGAAACAGAACTGGGGGGGGGGGCATCCCACAGTCAGTCTAGGCCCCCATTCCAGGTTTAACCGCACTTTGACCGCATCATAGGCCTCTGACCATTTCATATGCAAATAGTGGTTATTTGCTCTTTGTCACAGATTGTTACATGCAAACCGTCACGGGGCGTGTGCACGCATGCACTCCGCCTCGCCTTCGCTTCTAAGTGCCCCTGCTGGCAGAAGCAGAGGGAGGGATGGGGGACAACGGGAGGTGAGCCAGCCTCGAAGCCCCTCCTCTCCCGCGTCGAGGGTCTGTTTCTTGCTCCACAATGATAAATTCTTACAGCTAAATGGACTTATTCAGGACGGCGATCTGTGTGAGAAAATAAGCATGTCCTTGAAATATTTTGATTGGCCTGCTGACAGCAACAGTATTGCACTACAGACTGCCACTAATGGGGCTTCCCAGACCCCTGGGTGGGGTTCTCTGGGGGATAAGAGTTGGATGACATTGAGCAACAAGGGTCAGAGAGGTGAGCTGCAGGCCGGGAGGAGGCTTGAGCCAAAATGGCAGTAGACCTGGCACAGTTTCAGGTGAAATGGCAGGTAGACCTGGTACAGTCTGAGCCAATATGGCAGGTAGACCTGGTACAGTTTGAGCCAATATGGCAGGTAGATCTGGCACAATTTGAACCAAAATGGCAGGTAGACCTGGCACAGCCTGAGCCGAAATGACAGCAGACCTGGCACAGCCTGAGCCGAAATGGCAGGCAGACCTGGTACAGTTAGTGCTGAAATGGCAGGCAGACCTGGCACAGCCTGAGCCAAAATGGCAGGTAGACCTAGCACAGTTTGAGCCAAAATGACCAGTGAATCTGCCATAAATATGGAAGGGGTGCCAGAGAGAGAATGTAAACCCCTCCGAATTTGACATCATGAAGCATGGCACTGAGGTGCTCCCTGAATACAGGGCCTTGTCCTGGCTTCCTGTTTCGACCCAGCGATGGCGGCAGCACAGCTATGGATTGCCTGGCTGCGATATTCGATATTTCTTTTGAGCCTTTGGCTGTAACTTGACTCAAAGCAAACAGAGCAACGGGAGAAAGAGTGTGTTCAGTGTACAGCCCAAGCCTCAATGGGCACCTTTCATCCAGGGTTGGTGCCGCCTCATGCTCAGGCTGCAGCTCACGGCAGCTGGGCTGAAGCTGACCATGTCGGGCTGAAGCTGACTGTGTCGGGCTGAAGCTGACCGTGTCGGGCTGAAGCTGACCGTGTCGGGCTGAAGCTGACCGTGTCGGGCTGAAGCTGACCGTGTCGGGCTGGCTTTTGCCCGGTGCTCTGAAACCCTTTGGAAGACACTGAACTGAAAAGCGCCTTGGCAATTTCACCCGATTGGGGCTGCATGATCACATGACTGCACTGAAGATCCGCCTACCCTCCCTCTCAGATGTGAATAATGTGAGCTTTCCGCTGCAGCTGTGCAGCTGCCTCTCACGCTGACACAGACCACGGAAGGTCTTCTCAGCTCTTGCTACTTCTAACGCAGTTTTGCTGCAAGGCGCTATGTAAAAATAAACCAAAACCGAAAATCGAAATTGAAACAACAGCCTTTGCACAGACTGGCTATATTGAGGCTTCTTCACAACCTCTCATGTCAGTGCCCTGACCATCTCAGACAGCAGCTTGATGCCTCCCACCCTGGCTCGTCAGGCATTAATCCCTACACAGCCCTAACCCTGCCCATAAGTAACCCAACAAAATACAAGACTTTCAGCATTTTTTGTTTTTTGATTGCAGTCATAGATTTTTATGATTTTTGCAAGAACCAAAAAAAAATGGTTGGCTCAACGTCAAAATAACAGGTTTTTATCATCTTATGGGGACATTTGATCCTCAAAATGCAATATATTCATAACCCATCCAGACACATACACTGACATAGAGTCCACGTGACTCGGTGAGGCAGAGCCACCACTGTTTGTTCCTGCATGCTGCCCTGAATGCCTGGGATACAGCAGCACCCAACACGGGCTCATCACTAGCTGTGTGTCTCTGTCTGTGTGTGTGTCGGTCTGTATGTCTGTGTGTGTGTGTCTCTGTCTGTGTGTGTGTCGGTCTGTATGTCTGTGTGTGTGTCGGTCTGTATGTCTGTGTGTGTGTCTCTGTCTGTGTGTGTGTGTGTCTCTGTCTGTGTGTGTGTGTGTCTCTGTCTGTGTGTATGTGTGTCTCTGTCTGTCTATATGTGTGTCCCTGTCTCTGTCTGTCTGTCTGTCTGTCTGTATGTGTGTCTCTGTCTCTGTGTCTGTCTGTCTGTGGCTCCTGCGCTCCCCCTTAACCTTTTGCTAAGTTGGCACCCCTGAAGACACCAAGGCTGCACCAGCAAATGTCGCCCCCTTCCTGCAGAAGGACTGGATTATCCAGGTGGAATACGCTTAAAACACTGATAGAAATCGCACAGCATGCTGGGTACATAAAGGGGTCCCGGTGGAGCAGCCTGGCCCGCTGCGCTGTGTGCTGCTGGCGCGTTATTTATGACACACTGGGGCTCTTTGCACAGCGTAGTATGCTATCACTTCTGTCTCTGTTTGTCTGGGTAGGACAGAGACACAGCAATTTAAAAAGTAATTATTTTACAGATCACCCCCTGGGGGGCCTGAAATGGTGCATTAAGGTGTGTGGTGTAGGAATGCCTCTGTGCGTGCACACAGCCCTGCAGTTTGACACGGGGGGGAGACATAGACCAAACCCCACCCCCCTACTCATGGATTCTGAGACATCATCTTCAGCAAAGCCCTTGGGGGGGAGGGGTACTGCAGACAGAGCTCATGACCTGAGCTAAACCCGAGCTACACCCTCTACATCTGCCCCCCACCCCCCCGATTTGATGTTCAGCGGGTGAAGTGTCACTGAAACTGGCAGTGTATGTTTGTCTGTATGTGTCAATGTGTGTGTTTGTATCTCAGTCTGTGTGTATGTGTGTCTGTACCTCTGTGTCTGTGTGTCTCTATCTCTGTGTCTGTATCTTCGTGTCTGTATGTGTGTCTGTACCTCTGTGTCTGTATCTCTGTGACTGTGTGTCTCTATCTCTGTGTCTGTATCTTCATGTCTGTATGTGTGTCTGTACCTCTGTCTGTATCTCTGTGTCTGTGTGTCTCTACAGTATCTCTGTGTCTGTATCTTCGTGTCTGTATGTGTGTCTGTACCTCTGTGTCTGTATCTTCGTGTATGTGGCTGTGTGTCTGTGCCCTCCCAGACATTCCTCTGCTCCTCATGCTGCAGACAGCTGTCTGAGAATGAACTCCCATCGTTGTGTAACGTCTCGCGCACACGCCCAGCCCCCCCTGGAGCCTCCAGCTGGCACCGCTGCATTTCACCGGCAGACTACATTCCTGCCGACCTGCTGCAGCATGGAGAGCCTCGCTGAGATGCTAGTGGCTGGGAATGTCCGCATGTGACCGCAGAGGGACCAGGCTGGGGAGCCATTAATGCATGTGGGGCGCTGGGTCTGATGGTGGGCGGCGGCTCTGTGTGGCACAGGTGAGGCGGAGTACCTTGCAGCTGCGACGAAGCACTCTGGCTGAAGTGCCCCTGGTGGCTGGGGCGGGGATTGCCGTTCCCGGCCCCCATCCTCAGGCCTGCCCTCTGGAAGCGCTCCAATTCAGTGAGACGCTCCGAGAACTTCTGGGAGTCCTCCAGCTTCACCCTGTGTCCTGTGGGAGGCGGGAAAATGCTGCGCTTCAGAGACAGGGCAACAGGGGGGTGACGCTGAGGTGCGGCAGACCCCCTGACGTGAGCGGCCTGTCGATCCAGTGACCAGAAAATTCTGTGATGGCAGCGTGTGGGGTGGGGGGTGGGGGTATTTGCACTGGGGGATTCCCAGCCTGTTCTGAAAAAACGGTGTGAAAAACACGGACAGGAGAGAGACGTCAAACTGGAAAAACAGCCCGTGCCACCACTGACTGAGTAACGACCTTTATGTGAGAGAAGGCAGGGGGTGGGGGCAGTGTCACGCCAGCGGACGGGGGGGGGCAGGGCGTGACATATCAGCCATGGGTGTGGGACCACCATGGGCACACTGCCCTCGCACCCTCAGCCCCCGGGCCTCCCTGCCCCCCCCCCAGGCTGAGAGATGGCAGCAGGCGGATGAATGGGTGGGGGAAAAGGGGGCTCTAATGGAAGCAGGATTTAATAGGAGTGGCACAGACATGTCTGGGAGGACATGTGTGCGCCGGTTTGTGGTTGGATCGCGGCAGAGCTGAGCTGTCCCCTAATGGCTACATTTCAATATTTAATCACCATGCAAAAAGGGGGGGGGCTGCAGATATGGACTGGCCCACAGTTCCTCTGCAGATATGGACTGATTACCATGGGTAATCACTCCATCGGAGCCGACTGGGCCTGTATCTGGAAGCCCAAATGCTTTAAAAGTGCTGTTTGTTTTCCTTGGTTTCAGAGAACCACTCAAAAGCCACAGGATCCAGTAAAAATAGATTTCCCAAACCCGTGCTGCCTGTGCGCCCCCTCCCAGCTGGCGGCATGCAGAGTGGTGGCTCCCAGCACCTTGCAGCCCTGCCCACATGCAGACCCCCACCCCAAAACCCACCTCAATCCCAGACACTGACTACTGTGTTCTAGACCTAAACTCAGGAGAGGGACCAGCATTTACAGGTCAAACCCACCCCAGGAAAAGCTCTGCCCTCTGGTGGCTGGTGAGAGGTTTTTACCACATCAAACAGGCAAAAGGAGAAACAATATTCTGTTGCTGGGGGACTGATAATTGATACAATTTTGTAGTAAGTGAGGGTCTGAGAGCGCAGTGTGGAGCGGCCTCGTTACGGGCCATGAGAGCGCGGTGTGGAAGTGCAGCGGCCTGGGCCTCATTAGCCTGCCTCCACTGTTACTGCAGCAATCAGGCTTGCCAATCACATCCTCTGCTCCCTGTTAGGGAGGAATTAACCATGCTCAACCATCTCCGCATATCCACATGGGGAAACCCCCCCCCCCATCCCCAAAACACAAACACACATACACTCCCAAACACAACACCTCTCTTTGGCAGACATGGCACTCCAAAGGGTACAACCACCCTTCCATCCTTCTGCAGCCAGCTCTGGGTGAGGTGGGGTGCAGTGGGAGGTGATACAGGCCAGGACCGGGTGCTTTTAACACTCACTGACAAGAACATGGGCCAGGAAAGGGGGGGAACTTTCAGAGGTTTTTGCAGGACCATGAATATTTAATGCATCAGGCTGCATTTAATAGTGAACGCTGCATTTTTCGTCATGATGTCATAACCACAAGAAAGGCATGGTGAAGTGAGACTTCAGAGCTGGGTTCAGGATCACATGTTGCTCAGAAAGAAGCGCCTGGACAGCATGGACAGAAAACTACTGTCGGATGCCAGAAACTGCACTGTAATTCTGTAACACTGTAGGACTGTAGAGAGATCATTGTAATACTGTAATATTGCTGGACTGCAAAAAGAGCACTGTAACACTGTAGTACTGCAGAAAGAGAACTGTAACACTGTAATATTGCTGGACTGCAGGAAAGCACCATAACACTGTAGTATTTCAGAAAAAGCATTGTTAATACCGTAGTATTCCAGACAGAGCACTGTAACACTGTAACATTGCAGGACTGCAGTATTGCTCAAATCTCATGTTAAAAAATCCTAAAAAGAAGCACCATCAGATCATAACTGTGACTGATTGAAAAAAGATGATCCTCTTAAATGAGCACAAGCAAATAGCAAGAGCAGGAATGAACTGCTCAGCTAAGCGTGATGTTTTGCAGATGGTTCATGAATAATCTGCTGGGTGAGCTGGAGGAGTCCTTGCTGTCACCTGATGGACGCCTGAGGAATGTGCCACATCTCCATTCAGAGAGATCCAGGACACCAACCCCATTTGGCTGAAACATCACTAAGGGGCTCTGCACTTATACCACCAGTGTAGCATATAAACCAACTTCCTGTCAAAGTTTGCAATGATATGCCCCGGAAGTTGAAACCATAACACAGCTGTGAAAGAGGGGCTGCTGCCAGAGGAGGAAAGGGAGGAGCAGGCTGACACCAAACAGCGAGGCTGTGTGGATGTGGGGGGCTGTGTGGATGTGGGGGGCTGTGTGGATGTGGGGGGCTGTGTGGATGTGGGGGGCTGTGTGGATGTGGGGGGGCTGTATGGATGTGGGGGGCTGTGTGGATGTGGGGGGGCTGCTCTTGTCAGCCTTCCCTGACTCTCACTGCCGCCCCCTAGTCCTTCATGACTTTCGGCATCGCGGCTCTGTCTTCCTTTTCCTCCCATTGGTAGATCGGGCGTCTGGAGAACTTCTCCTTTCTCCCGGTGATGCCACCCAAGCAAATAGCCAATCAGTGGTACCTTCTCTGTGACAATGGACCAATGAGGGAACTGGCAGAAGACCAGGTGTGGGCCACATGGAAGGAAGTGGCTTTTCTTGTTGAGCGCAGCAGCCAGTCTAGACTTGTGTGTGATGCCAGGTTGGAGCAGCGGCCTGGCGTCGCGCCCTGGCGAGCACAGTTCTCTCTGGGGCAAACCCATTTCCTCCCTTAAAGGGGGGGTCTGAGCCCTGCCATTGGTGGAGCAGCATGGAGATGTCACACCTGATTGGTCTGTGAGGTGTGTAGACATCCTGTGCATCTCCTAAGCCCAGCCCAAGCTCTCCCCACCCTAGACGAGCGACCATGAAGCATGTTCCTGACTCGTCACAGGTGCCGTGACGCTCTGTCACACAGAACAAGGCTCAACCTCAGTCTCACAACCTTAGACTGCCTTGAAATAGAAGAGGGACTTCTGGCCGCTCTCAAACACCGACTCCACCAGCAAGGGGCGATACTCGGGGAACCTCAAGGAGATGCTGTGCTGCTGTTCAACTCATTACAGGAATGAAAAGGGAACAGGAAAGTGACACTGACGTGTACTCTACTTGGGGGGGGGGTGCCGGTGCCGCTAACTGCACAACAGGATGTGACACCTGTCGATATCAGGAGTCGCCCCCCAGCTCAAACGTCAACGAAACCTAAACCGCAGCTTAAGTGGGGGGTGGGGACTGCAGGGGCAGGTGAGGGTCACAGGCACAACCTCTGTACCGACAAACACGGCTCAGGTGGATACCGGGTGCGGGGGGGGGGGGGCACTGTGACACAGAGTGCTGGGCTGACTGACCGAACACCTCCCCAGGCGCCCCACCCCTCGAGGGGAAGGATGCATTACCATGACGACTTGCGGTAATCAATGCTGTTGACACAGAGTTGAGAGGGTGTGGCTGCGTAGCGAGGTAAGGTGGCGAGGTGAGATATGACAGCTCTCTGACTGCCGCCTCAACATGAAGACAAGCTCTATGTGTGTGGGTCTGTGTCTGTGTCTATATCTGTGTGTCTGTCTGTGTCTGTCTGTCTGTGTCTGTGTGTCTATATCTGTGTGTCTGTCTGTGTCTGTCTGTGTGTGACTGTGTTTCTATATCTGTGTGTCTATATCTGTGTGTCTGTGTCTGTCTGTGTGTGTCTGTCTGTCTGTGTCTGTGTGTCTATATCTGTGTTTCTATATCTGTGTGTCTATATCTGTGTCTGTCTGTCTGTGTGTGTCTGTCTGTGTCTGTCTATCTGTGTGTGTGTGTCTGTCTGTCTGTGTCTGTGTGTCTGTCTGTGTGTGTCTGTGTGTGTTGAGGACACACTCCCAGCACCTTGGGATGCCAGGTGCCGTGACTGAGCCACTCGGGCTGCACATCTTTGTGGGAGGGGGGCATGTCATACGTAGCTACACTAACCCCAGGGCAGGAATGTTTCTGGGATGTTTGCTGGATGAGAGGTGTCCTGTTCTCAATGCGCCTGTTCACCCAAAAGTGGAGTGTAAACACAAGCCTCTCACTCCTGCATATTACAACTGCAGAAAAATGTAAGTTGACCCCACATCTGGATTTTCCCGCAATCTCTGGAAAACGCCCCCTCCAGTCCAGGGCCCGCTGATCTGGCCAGCCCCACCCCAAGTGAAAAAAGACGAAAAAGATTTATTATCGTAAGAAGCTTTCGGGAAAAACACTGCAGCTGGAGGGAGATGGGGACCCCGGCACAGTGCCATCAGACGCCCGGTTACTGCCTGCCAGCGCTGGGTAAACAGGAAGCAGTTTGGCTGTGTGGTCTGGGCCACGCGCTTTGCTTTTTCTGGAAAAGGACTGCAGTTAGTGCGCCTTAACTGGGGCAGCACGGCCTCCGCGATCTACCCCGGGGGTGTGGGAGCTGGAACAGCACGCAGTACGCACCAGGGCCTGCAGCTTCCCTCACGCGCTGAGCGTTCTCACGTCACACAGTCGTCAGCTTATCACTGCTCCGCCAGAGCAGGGATCAGGGGGCTGGTGTCCCGGAGCTGACGCACGAAGCTACTGAACTACTCTTTTGTTTGCTGGCTTGTTCTCTGAAGATCTGGACTGTCCTAATGTGGAGCTCTGCGTGGGACCCTTACCTTAACCATTCTACCACTGCGAGGGTGTGGGGGGGGGGAGTGGGGGGGGGGGGGGGGGTCCCGGCCTGGCCGTCTGACCACCCACCGCTATCCCAGACTAACACCTGCTATCAGAATCCAGCAACTCCCAACTGCCCCGTCCCCCCCCATTAGATTCAGACTGACCAGGCAGGCCCCTGGACCCCCCATCGAAATGGGGCCTGTGGTCCATGCCATTGCCGTGACGTTTCTGTGAATGAATCAGGCGGCTGGTTGGCGTCATGCACATCACACACCATGCCTGGATCCACTGGGTCATCTGCCCAGTGGGGGGGGGGCTGCTTTCCCACTGTCACTGTCATCATTCTGTGTTTAAAGTGTCCCCCAGAAGCAGCGTCTTCATTTACAGCATCAAAGAGGGGGGGGGGGTCACACCTGTCATGTTACCCCCGCCCCTCTTCATTTCCAACACACGCTCATGCCTGTTGACTGGGGTAGGAAGCTCCCCGCCCCCAGCACCACACAGCACAGCCTTTGTGTGCCTCCCTGGACTTTGCATATCGCGTGGAGCCTCTGTGTGAAATGAAAATCAGCTGAAGCCACCACCAAAAACACACCCCCAACCCCAGCGCCACCCCCCTGGCCGTAAACCAGTGACTGGCTCCCACTAAGTGTCAGTAAAGGCCAGAATAGGTCACATTACACACCCTCTGGTGAGACCACGTCATCACATTTTCCCAATACTAGCTGCACGTACCCGATACTGGTTGCGAGTATCTGATACTGACTGTGTATTCCCGATGCTGCCTGTGAGTATCTGATACTATGTATTCCCGATACTGGTTGGGAGTATCTGATACTGACTGTGTATTCCCGATGCTGCCTGTGAGTATCTGATACTATGTATTCCCGATACTGGTTGTGAGTATCTGATACTATGTATTCCCAATGCTGCCTGTAAGCACCTGATACTGACTGTGTATTCCCGATGCTGCCTGTGAGTACCTGATACTGACTGTGTGTTCCCGATGCTGCCTGTGAGTACCTGATACTGACTGTGTGTTCCCGATGCTGCCTGTGAGTACCTGATATTGTTTGTACATACTCAATCCTGATTGTGAGTATCTGATACCGGCCATGTGTACCTGATACTGCCTGTGAGTATCTGATACCAACTGCACATATACAATACCACCGACTGTGCATGTGCTAAACTGGCTGTATGTAGCAGATACCGGTTCCGGGTTCCAAATACCAGCTGTGCGTACCCAATACTAGATCAAAGTACTAGATATCTTCTGAGTATTTGTCAGCTCAGAGCATCTCTGTGCTGGGAAAGTGCCTCACAAACAGCTGCTCTTCTGGTTTCTCCTCCACTACATGTGGCACACGGACCAGTATGGGATCCAGAGCCGCTGGGACCCAGCCTCTTCTCTGACCCCTCCCCCATCCCTCTTTCCCTCTCTTTTAGCTCTCCTCCCGCTGTTCTCTCTGTTTCTATTTTGTGGTTTCACACAGAACCTTCACAAGCTGTGGCAACTGACTGGCACTGGATTGGCTGCTTGTGACCATGTGACCAGGCCCGGTAGAACTGCAAGCTGTAGTCTATGGTAAGTTTAAAGATGACGTACTAGCCCCTCCTACGACTGCCATCCTTCTCCTGAGACACACACACACACACACACACACACACACACCTTTCCCCTTTGCCCCTGCGGGACCTGGTTTGGCTGTCTCTGAGCGATCAGCCCGGCACTCTGTGTGTGTGTGTGCGTGTGTGTGTGTGTGTGTCAGACAGGCGAATCCGGTCTTGCCCTGTGAGGCGCCGAGCCTGACGGGACATTCTGCTTGCCACAGGATTCCCAGGCACCCCGTCAGGTTTCCTCACCTGAATGTGCAGGAGTGCTGTGCCCCCCCTTCCCACCAGGGGCCCCGTTTGCAGACAGCCCGCAGGGTACGCTGGGTGTGTCTCTCACTGCCTGCTTAGTGCCAGTGATGATTCAGCAGGACAGCTTCTCCCTGCGCATGGGCCGCAGTCCACCCCAGACCCCTACTCGCTGGGACTCTGATTTACTTAATGATTCACCTTAATTAACACCCCCCCCCCCCCCCCATCAGCACCACAGTAACAGGCACCACCCTCAGCTGGATCTACATGAACAGTGAAGGAGAGACAGGCAGCTGGTGAGTTAACACTCCAGGTCAGCGGCCTGCCCTGTTCAGCCGACCGCCCCCCCCCCCCGCCCCCCCGGCATCTCCGCGTTTGTGGCTTAGTGACACTTGGCCTGCTTAGTGCTTGTGGGCAGCCTGGATAATCCTTAATGGATTTGAGAGATTGCTTTGTGCCCCATCAATAACATCACCAGTCTGGACCCGGATGTTCCAGGTTCCTGCTCCCCACTCACGGGAATCTCGCCCCTTTGCAACCAAACATTGGAGAATCTGGTCTGGCTTCCTCGGATTTATAATCACGTGACGTGTTCCTGGCCAACGCCTGTCAGAGGGATTGTGGGTACTCACGCCTGGGCTCTCTAGGTCCATCCACGGTCACCTTGATGGCGCGATGGTAAGTGGCCACTTGCGGTGGACTGGTGAATACTGTGATCGTCAGGGTGAAGCTCTTTCCTAAAGTCGGGAGGATTCAAGCGAAAACCATTGGATCAGTTACCGGTCCGGCATCGATCACCTACACCAGAGCTGCACGGTGCCCAATACCGGGCGCTCCTAATTCAGATTTCATCACATCCTAATAGGCTTCACATTAACTCCATAATTAGTAGGAAATTAACAAATGCCGCAGTGAAGACAGATAAAATGAAAGACACGTAAAAACCACGTCGATTTAGCGAGAGTCAAGAGAAACGCGAATAATGCCGTCTACTTTACGTACTGGAGCTCCGGTTAATGCGAGGCTGGCGGGACACTCTGCCGCCCCCCACCCCCCAGTCAGTGCAGAGGGTCCCCCGCTCAGCACGCATATGGCGCCTTTATAAAAGGGATCTCTTGTTAAGAAACTGCAAAGGGATCCTGCAGCGGAGTAATTGAATGCAGAAATGAAAGGTACTTTTAATTCAGAGAGGGGAACATTTTCCATTCATCAGTCTGCAACTATATGAGTATAACATTTAAAGAAAAACTGCGGGGCAGGACCGAGGCCAGGAGGGAAGAGAGGAAAATAAACACGTGAAGGAATCTGAACTATTTCAACGGGAGATTTTCAAAAACGTGTCCTTAAAACATAAAGCAAAAACTAAACGTGGCAATTTTTACTTTGTAAATGAAGATGTAAACAATGTTTTTGGTTTTTTTTGTGTCTGAAAGGTATTTAAATATTTATACTTAAAAGCGTTGATGGATGAAGAAATTTTGTTGTAAAACTATAGTGGCAATTAAGTAATGTTTAAGTAAAATAGTTTGACGTTTAAATACAATCAATATTTAAAAGTGCAATTATAAATGTTTTATTATTACTCATTACTCAGAAACGCCAAGATTTCAATTGTGCGTCACCGTGACGCGTCCCACCTTCTTGTGTGCGCCGTGTCAAATTCTCTAAATTAGTATGTCAAATTTCAGAATCTAAAAAATATTTGTCCCTAGTAAATATTTTATCCGTGTGACAAACACATATTTTATTGTGTAATTCAATGAAAATAATTATTGTGCTCAAATTTCTCTTGCAGTAACCGATCATTACGATGAAAGAAGAGAATAACTGAGCGATGTTTTGCACACCTCGCCCGCTCCTTCCCACGAACCGCAGGTCGTTGAATCTGGCGACCTGGTTCTTCATGACGGCGGAGGCGTTCCTCAACTCCGCCGAGTAGTTCTCATCATTACCGGCCATCACCGTGACCAGCGTCCCGTCAGGAACATCGCCGAGCGCCACCACCTGAAGGCGGATCCAGCTGTCAGTGCCCCGAATCACGGACCAACGAACATCACAGGTCATTTACAATCATGCTCATAAATGTAATCGTTCTACCGTGATGATTTCATGTAGGCCTATCTGAGCATATTTATTTAAAATTATTAGCGTTGCTTACAGATTAAACCCAGAGAAATATTAGTTTACTTAATATAAACAAACTAAATAAAAAACCTTTCGCATGCATGTAATATATTGAGGCACAAAACGCATAAAGTGTACGTATTATTTTTACGAGGAAGTGAAGGGATCTCTTATATAGTTTGTAAGAAGTGAACGAATCAGAAATTGATCCTACTATTAAACTGTTATTAAAATGCAGACTTTAAATTCTAATAACTATGAATTAATAGCTTTTAAAATACCATGACCGACACGTATATACACAGCTCGCTCTGATTAATTTAACCGAAAGTTAACAATTGGAAAGGAATGTTTTTATAACAAATAATTTAATGAGCGCCTTTATCACTTTGCTGAACCATAGTACAAAACACTACGCGAGGGCACGACTCGTCGGCGGCGGTGTTGCGCTTCCACGTCTATCAAGAAGACCGCAATCAAATTATTTTAGTTGACTTTACCCACATAGCAAATTTCATTCTGTGACCCACACCGCTACCCGCAAAAATTCTCATTTGAAGAACATAAGCTGTTTGATGAAGCCTTTCTCTCCACATCCCGACACGGTTAGCACGCCAACGCAGCACGGCTAACTTCCACCTTTACATTTATTCAATAATTTTCTTCGACGTGATATTTTTCAAATAATGAAATGACTGATGTTTAGTGCTTTTGTACTTTTTGAGGACATGTAGTGATTTACCATGTTTATGCAAAGATTCGCCGACCATTGTATTACTTATTAAGCGCCAATTTATCATAACGTATATATATATATATATATATATATATATATATATATATATATATATATATACATACATACATACACACATATATATATACACAGACCAGTGGCATTTCCCAACTTAAGTGTTTCAATTTAAAATTTCCAGACAGCTGGTCCGGAAAGTGCATCTGATCAGCATCACCTCAGTAACATGGTAAAAGGAATTTTGTTGGATGTCTGCACTTGCAAAATGTTAATAATTATGTTATTAAAGGATTTTAGGCCCCGGTTGTAGTATATGCATGTGTAAAATACGGCATTCTCAGTATAATAAGTTTCTGATCAAATCCCATTATGCACTGTAATATCTGCTGTTCCTGTGCCACGGTCCGTCAAGCGGAATTTACAAACTCAAATCTCTGATATTTTATGCACGTTTAGGATCTCATATCCACTTTGGAAGTAAGTGCGATAATGAATTGGTCGAGCCATTTCAGGCCAAATGCGCACGTGAAACAGTTATTCGTATTTTTCTTTATAAAAATGCCCCCAATCTATTAGAGAACGAGAAAAACGCGCATTTTCCTTACCTTGAATGCCACAGGCAGCGTTTTGTTACACCGCCAATGCGACGGCAGCACGGAGCAGAGAAAGTTCGGGCTGTCCGTGCGAACCAGCTCGCCTGCGTGGTCCGCCAGCACGTCCACCACAGTACGGGCTTCGTTACGAGCTCTCACCGGTCCCGGAGTGCCCATGGGCCCGGTGCCGTCTCCGATCTTGCTGCAGGGGAACGACGTCGAAGGCGGTGTGAACCGTCTGGTAGTTGTTGGGTCTACGGGAATATGCATCACAACAACTCGGTCAGTCCTTCTGAAACTGGCCTTTATATGTTGTCTTGTGCGCTTTCAAAGGCTGGTTCCTTGTCCCCGTACGGATTCTCTGCTCCAATCTGGCGGTCCGCTTTTTTGGAAAGTTCCCGTAAAGTCCAGCGGGCTTGCAGCGTTGGAACCGAGATCGCGGCGCTGTTGACCGTGCTGCTGTGCCTAGTGCTCAGCAGTGCGCCGAATTGTCTCTCGGCGCTTTCTGTGCGGATGTAGAGTTACTGAGACGCCAATAAAAGGGGGAAAAACGCTCGGTCTCCGGCGCTCCGCTTACAGCTTGGGGTGTTAAAGCGCGAGCAGCATCGCTTGCCTTCTTGCTTTTCTCACAGTCTGCAGAGCAAGTAGAAAACCGCAACTCCGACCCTTTTCCGCAGCGGTTTTTTAATCTTGTTGCCTATGCAAATCGTGTGCACTTTCTATTCTGCACCTGATGCTACTCTTTTACAAAACATTATATTGCTAGTCAAATGTTTCTAGACTGATGCACATATAAGAGCAAAAGCTACAAAATACCACACTTTTAAAATAGTCGCTTTAAAACGAAAGTCCAGTTTTATGACAGGTTCTGCAGAACAGCCACTTAGTTTCTTTTTATTTAATTTCCATTGAAAACGCAAACTACGTGTAGTCCACCAGTCTTGCAACACATTTAGAAACAATTGTATCGGATGGCTGCCGGCGCGCCTTATCGCTGAGTTCACACCAACGCTTATCGCCCTGCGACGCGCTTCTGTCAGTCTTTCTACAAAACGCAGGGAGACGCTCTCTGCCTCCCGACGCTCTTCCCTGTGGAAATCCGCAAATTGCAGCCGTCCCGAGCGCTATTTCATGATTAATTTAAAACCACGATGCTTAGTAATACACGTATATATTTGTTCAGTCGTCTTTTTGTCTTCTTCCGCGACGAATACAACTATCTTGACAGTCAGCGACGAGTTCCTTATCTGATTGTAAATTCAGACAAGGTCAAAAATGACTACAGGTCTCGTCTAAATTCTTGCCCTCTTCCGTATCCAATAGAGGTCTTTGTTCTGCAATTTGCGAGAAGCGTAATTCCGTTTCGCAGCGTTTGCTGGGGAAGCCAACAAAGACGCGCTCTCTTTTTGCGCTTAGCTGCAAGGTGGTGCAAGAGGGAAAAGTGCCGTAATATTATTTACTCAAGTGAGCGGAGTTTGTGGCGGCCGCAGATTGGCGACGCCTTCCGCCAATGGGCCGCCTGGGCCGGGCTATCACAAGCCAATCATACGCTTTCAAATGCGAGCCCATTCAGTCGTGCGCTGATAACTCTTCGCTTATCACATTTATTTTCATTTATTCTTACCAACCGCTCTTCGCTTTGCTCTTTGCGTAATATACTGCTGTTTATTTGATTAAAAACATCCACTTTTTAAATTAAATAGTGTGTTAGGCGCATTTTTGAGGGAAGTTTAATCAGATGTTTAATCTTTATCCTATGATTTAATTATGTTCTCTACTTGTATATCTTACATTATACAGTTAATTTAGCCTTTACTTTTAGCTAATTTAGGTGTAGTAAGCGTCGCAGTAAATGTCATACAAAGTTGTACCACGAATGACAGCAAACCTTACATAAAGACGATGCTTCTCTCTTAAGTGTACCGTTACCTGCTGCTAAAATCTAGCGTTTTGAGTTTCGGCCGATGTTTTATGTGTTACATCACGAAGCTTTGACACCTGCGATATTTAAGATCAAACGCATTAATTATCTGTGTAGATTTGGTTGTGTGCATTTCGTGACCAATGACATCCTGGTCAAGGAGTTTCATTTACGGGTGGATTTATGGGTAGATCACAAAAACGTGTTTGTGATCCTCATAAAAATTATTTAATAACACACACACACACACACGGAAGAATACATTTCATATAAATTATTAGGATTTCATATATTTTCGTGACGTTCAGGCTAAATTTGTAGACATTTTCGTTTATTATCAATTAAAACCGAAGCGTTAAGATTCAAGAGAGCGCAACAACTACAGCGTATTTTCAGGATTTTATATTTTAAATATAAAATATAAATACTGCAACAGTACTTCTGTACAGCTTCCACCAAGGTTCTCAAATATGTATTTACTATTTACTATTTATTGTTTACTAGTTACTTTGTGTGCACAGATTAGAATGTAATTAAATCTCTGTGGCTCTGTGCGCGCGTTACTTCTTCGTGTCCTCATAGAATCGCGTTATTTACCGATTAAAAGTGATTACAATAATGCGTAACAAGTCACACCAAAACCTCCTAATTAAACAGTCGCATCCTTTAGTTTGATTTTCTTGTATTTATTATATTAGTTATATAGAAATTAGTAATATTTAATTTTCAAAAGGCACTGTTTGTAATTTTGTATCGATACATCAAACATGATAACATGTAAAATAATTTAAAAATGCAAAGTTGAATAATTTGCCGTGATGTGGGGGTGTAATGTTAGGATATTTATTAGTGGGAGTTCTGTGCCGAACAGGTTATTAAGACGGTATCCTGTGCCGAGCACCACGCCCTGGCGCGTGAAGGCGAACCGCGTGGCCATGCGGGGGGTTGGACGCTAGTTGGCGCGTTTGTCGTTTGAAAGAAGTCAGCAGTTTAAAGCGCGGATTTCCTCCGTACGTTCGCACACTTCAGCGTCGGAAAGAATTTGGGGCGAAACATTTTAAACAAAGAGCTAAACATACTTATTTTTAAAATTTCGTTTGTAGCATAAAGTAAATATGACCAAAATGATCAAAAAACACACGTAAATGTAATTTTTTTGATCATATACAAAATAATACCCAATATATGCCTTTATTTTAAATTAATTCGCTACAATAATTTATACATAACATATATATCGTTAATATTGCATAAATACATCTCGAAAAATGGATGGAAAATTTAACTAAGTACATATGGCGAATACTTTTTTCTATTAATTCATATTCTGAATTTTAATTAATGAGGCTGCGCCAAAAAACGTCACCATCTGCTAATTAACAGACATAAAAATCGATAAAAAATACATTTGTACAGTAAATTTCGTTCTCGACTGTATGATAGAATCGTTTGTCGGTTTAACTATTAATCGAATATTTAAAATTAAGGTTACCCTCATTACAAATGTTGTGCTTTCCCTCAAAAAACGTTTTGAAAACGCCAGATAATCACAGACGAACATTTTGTTGTATGCAGCTCAGTAAAACGTAAATCAGTAGTAGAAAATAACACTTTTCAAAAGGCAGCAAAGACTGTGTTTGCGGCTTCAGCCTCGCGCGGTCAAATTCTCATTTAAAACCAATAATTAGCAATTCTTCAGGAGCTCCCTATAGTGTGAAATGAAAAATGTGTCTTGAACAGACACACCCGAGTCGGTCTGGGATAAAACCAAGGAAATACAAGCGACGTGCTTCTCTTAAAGATCAAACAGGAGTTAAATGAGTCAGCCGGGATAGCCGCTAAGGTTGCGAGATGAACCGTTTAGAACTTTAGATCATAGCAACAGACTGCATGTCTGACTCAGACAGATTTTCCACTTTCCTCTTCTTTATTTTGATTTTTTAATTCCCCTTGTTACCCATGGTATTATAGAGTTCATAAATATTTCAATTATATTTATATTTGAGTTACATTCCTGATATGCAAATATAAAAATACAAAATATTTAAGCGTTAAGTTCAGTGTTTTACAATACTGACATGTAACTCTTCCCTTTCCGTTTGTATAATAATTATATATTTCTTTTAAACATATTGAATATGATTCGATGAAAAGCCCATTTAGAGGTAAAAAGTTAAAGTTAAAAACGAATTCCTTTAAAGGTCGGTGATTAGTAAGATTTGTTTGTTTTCTTTGTAAGTAAAATGCGCTTTATATCACGTGGGGTCATAGACTGAAAATAAAAGAAGCCCCGGGCCGGCTGCGCTCACCGCACGAGCCAGGGGAAGCGTACCGCGCCAGAGGTGCCTGGCCTCGCGCTTGTCTGGATCCCCTGCGGCGATGGGTGCCGATCCAGCGCGTGCTGGAGCAGTGTAGATGTGTTCTGCGTGTTTTTATTGCCCTGCAGGGTAGGTAGGCACTGCGGGTTTATTTTTGACCGACCGAGTCTGAGCGGTCTGTAGGTTTGTGGGATTGGCGGTGAAATGGGCAGATAACCCCTTTTCACGCGTGCCGAGGGCTAGTCATAAATTAGTCATTTAAAACAAAGTAATATTACTGGTGACGTTTTCTAAGCTGTTTATGCATTATAGAAAGGCATAAACCGTCCAGCGCAGTAGTAATAATAATTATAATCATTTTTGATTACCATCGTTTGTAAGTAGTATGATAAATTACATTAAATTCTACAAAAAATCGTGCCGTTATTTCGTCGACGCTCGCTCCATTTCCCTCAGATAACTGAGGGACGCCCACTAAATTTTGAATCACTCTTTTCGACATGATGACTCCCCAGAGCGGCCAAGCACGCCCCCTCCACCCCTCCAGATTTTATAAGGGAAACACCAACAAACATTTTCATCAGCAACTTCTTAGCTGGAAGCTATGTGTAGACACACAGATGACTAACGCAGAAGGATTTAAAAGATGGCGATATCTCGTAAACAGAACCCTAGGCGAAGAAAATGGGCGTGATGAGAGACACTGTGCAATAATTAAGTAGGCCTATAGTTATTTGTAATCGCGCGGTCTGCCGCCAAAATATCATCAGCTAAGATTAGCAAAAGCCTTAATGCTGAAGGATGCGGAGGTTTTTCATTGGGGTGGCCGGTGTTGGGAGAAAGCGGACAACGAGAGCGCGATACGCTTTTACCCGTTATTCACTCTCATATATAGGCTTATTATACAGTGTGTGTGTGTGTGTGTGTATGTGGAGAGAGAGAGATGCGTTATTGTTTTCTGTAATATCAGCAGTCTAATTCCGATAATTTGCAAACAACTTGCGACATGACAGGC